TCTTCATTCCTAATCTTATCCATCCTAGTGTGCCCGCACATCCATCTCAACATCCTCATTTCTACTACTTTCATCTTCTGGATATGTGAGTTCTTAATTCCCAAATAAAAGAGTCTGGATTTGATTAAGACCACGAGCGGCAGACTACTAAAGAATCCAAAACACCTTTTCACGTCATGATAAAGCATTAAGATCTAGCCTAGAACTAAGAACTGCATAGGAAAATCTAGGCATATGGACCTGTGGGAGACTTAGAACTTTCCTTACAAGTTGAAGCCAAATGTTCGATTGTTACTTCTAATACTATTTAATCAAGATCTCATAGAGTTTCTAACGTAACAAGGAATTCAAAACTAGTTATGCTCTAGACTAAGAGAAGGACAAGTTTGATCTCATCTTGAAACTCTCCATAAATTATAGCCAATATACCCAACTAGACTATAGATCTTCACAGCAAAAGAACTGAGGGATAAGATGCTGCTGTAGATTATAGCATTCGCAAACACCAAAATCATGGTATGCGCAACAAATAGGCCCCGTAAGACCCCAACTAAAGTACTCTCAACAGGTAGGATGGAATGTTCTTCAGCAATCTGGAATCCAGCTGGTTCAAGAAAGGTTAAATGAAAAGAAGCATTATGGAAGTGCAATAGCTATTATCTTGGTCAAAATGAATGTAAAACCAGTAGTGTTAGATGCCCTAGAGCCAAATAAATCATATGTAAATACTTGTGGTTTTTTATAAAGGATGAAAAGAGAAGGTCTAGGTCTAGTTGGAAGCAAGTCAGCATCAATCTCTGGGATTGTGAGAGCAAGTAGATATAATGATGTAACAAGGTCAGAGTGATGGTCAGCTATGGGAATAGGCTCACTCAAGGTGCCTTTAAACCCTAAAGCTAACTCAGGATAGGCTCTTTGCTTTGCTTACGCGGCGTTTTAGCACATACACTCAAAGCACTATGGTGTGCACCTCATCACCCATGAAGTGTTGTAAATAGCGCTCGCCTCAGCGCTAATAGCGTGAGGCGATGCGAAGCGGAGGCTTAACGCTATTTTCATCTGAGGCGTAGCGTCTTCTGAAAAGCGACAGCGAGGCGACGAAGCGGCAACGAGGCGTGGAGGCGTGGAGGCGTCAGAAGCGTCGCTTTTTTTAAACTAACAAAAATAACAAGAGACTTAAATAAAACATTAGGGTTTTCTTCTCTTCAAACCACTTCTTCCTCTTTCAGGAGTCAACACAGGCGCAACTCTTCTTCGAGTTTCAGGTACTGATTTCTCTTCTTTCTTCTTTTTTTCTTTTTCTTTTTTCGGCAGTAAGCCCTCTGTTTTCCGGCGTCTTTTTCCGGCAACAAGTCCTCTCTTCTTTCTTCTTCTTTCTTCTTCTTTCTTCTTTCTTATCTTTTTCTTCTTCCGGCAGTAAATCTTCTTTGTTCTTCTTTGCGATAGCAACTGATTTCCGGCAGCAACTGATTTCCGGTCTTTCACCTCTTTCACCTATGTTTTCTCTCTTTTCTACTCGCCTTTCTTCTTCTATTTCTCTTTTATTCTATTTTTTCAGTTTTTGTATACAAGTAATTGCATATTAACTTCTCTCTATAATTACAATTACAATTAATTGTTCTTTTCTCTCTTTGATTACAATTAATTTCTCTCTTAAACAGTATATCCAATGAAATATTTGCTAAAATGTTATTATTATTGAGTTTTTGGTTATTTATATATGCAAATTTTAATATTTTAATTTTTTTGTATTAATTGGCGCTTCACTGCAAAAAGGCGAGCGCTTCGCTTCTCACCTCAGTGAAGCGGGCACTCGTCGCTTTTTCTCGCCTCTCGCTATTCAAAACACTGCACCCATGTGATTTTCATGACTCTGTTTTGAAGAGGAGAATACTAGAAAATAAATATAGTTGGCGAAGTGATATACTAATCTTATGGAGACTTTATGAATGTTATTATCTTAGTGATTTGGAATAGGGACACAAATTTAGCAATAAAAAAAAGCTACTAAGATCTCTTTTTCTTCTGATAGTTACTAACATCATTTATTATCCTCATATTGCATCTTTGCTCTAAACGAAGATTACTGAACCTTATTGACATGATTTTTAGTTCATAAGTGTAGCTTTTCCAATTCATTTTGTACAGAAATTACTTTTTGTGTTTACAGTTATTTTTTCTTGTGTTACATATTTATTTCTAATTCTTTTATTTGCGCCTTCTTTCACTAAAGCCCATGATGCCCAGCAAGCGTTAGCACTTTCTAACTGCATTTGACAATAATGTTGGTCTATCAAGAAATCAATGACGCTGGTCAGCACATGTTTAAGAAGAGGATATCACGGAAAGGATTTCAATCGCTGCTCATACTAAAGAGACATCTAAAGAAGATTCAGATGTTGTCGCTACATGAAGGACTTTAGTACCTCGTTGCTCAAAACGAAGGATCTTATTACCTCTCATTTTTTCAAGTTGGAACTTGGGAGGCAGCTTTCTCTAAAGGTTTCCTCAATTTGGAGTTCTAGAAGACAAACGCAAATCTAAAAAGAAGAGGAAACCAACTACCTAAGCCAATTTCACCACAACCTAGAGTAACCTCGGATTGACAGTGTAATGATAAGGCAGAACTGCAGTATAGATTATATGAAGTCATCTTTATCAAAAAAGTATATATTACACCACGTCAAGCATTAGCAATTCTAGCAGTGTGTAAAACAATGCAAACATTGCGCCTGGTAAAAGAAAAAACTAAAAGAACAATCACCAAATAGCACAAAAAATTGAATCCAATTATAAGAAAGCCACAATGACGACGACAATCAAAAAACAAGGACTTACACTTTAAGCCTCATGCCCAAATCTTGCAGGAATGTACAATATGACTTGCGTAGATAAGTCTCTTTCTTCAAATCTATACCATCTTGTCGCGATGGGGAGTTCTCTTCAATTTCCTTCCTGGAGAAATACCAACGACCACCACTGTCATCTGGCCTTTCTTGAGAAGCCCTAAAACTTCCACCTTCATAAGCTCCATGATGCGTCAAGGGATCACCAGACATCAGACCAGCCATCAGAACCTCTTCAATCCCCACGAAAGTTATCAATAAATTATGAAAATGGTCTCTATGGAAAACAGCAGTTATTTACATGACCATCACCGAGCAACATCCTATAAATAAATCAGACAGGAAGACAGAGGATTTGAACAGGAAACATAACCGCATAGAGGCAGTCAAAACCCAAAATATAAAAGCATAAAACCCAACTTGAAAAAAAAGGGGGAGAATGCCGCATCATAACACTTAGCATCTGCTGAGAGCTGTAAAATGGTACGTAACACCTTTTTTTTTTTGGACAAACAATTGCCATATGGTACTATCAAATGGCATTAATAAGTCTGAACATTCAACTTTCACTCTTTCAAATACATGATTCTAGTCAACAAGATTTTAACAAACACATAAACAAGCCAAGAATATGTTATCCATGAGACAAGGTATGTTGTTTCTTCCTCCGCAACTGATTTTAGGGGGGGAAAACACAATCTTGAGATCATTTAAAACTTCATTTGTTAAAAGACATGGATTGAGCAAAGAGAGAAATTGATGCCGCCACCAATCAATTCCCAGAAGAAGGTTACAATAAAAACTACTACTACTATGCCTCAGTCCCAAACAAGTTGGGGTCACCTATATGAATTCCCATTGACCATGGGTAAAGCAGATAAAACTTTACAAGCTGGAAAAATCCACATGAACAGTTTCTTATAGGTCAAGAAGAAAAAAATGCAAACAAGAAAGCAGACACATGCTTTGAGCAAGTTGTAGAAGTTCTTTTTTAACTAAAATAACCTCAACTTACTTATCGTTTGGATTCTATATTTTTATATATTTCTTAAGAAATTCAAATAACTCTGATAAATTCACCAAAATAGTTAGTACAATTTACAAGCTCAAAAATAAAGAAACGAAGTGTCGCCAAAAATCAGATTTTTACAAGGTAGGTAAGTCTATTTGCTCAAATATATAAGAATGATACATAAAATAAGCAAATCTCTCAAGCTCAACGCAACAAAAAAATAAAAAAAATAAAAAAAGGTGAGAGCTTAAACTCCTCAACTACGAAAACAAAAAGAACCCTTTTTTTACATATTTTTTTCATTTAACCACCGTAACGGAAAATCAAGAACAAAAAAGAAATTCTACAAGGTAGGGTTGGAAGAAGAACAAACTGATACGAAACAAGAATTAGAGAAAAACCTGTCCGTTACAAGGAACTGAGGAGATTCTACTTCACCGCCGGCGAGATTTAACGGCCAGAGACGGCGAGGATGACGGCAATTCAGAAAGTTGAAGATTCGGAGGGTTTGGGTTTGGGAGAGGACGAGCGAGTGAAAGAAGCGTAGGGAGGAAAAATGTGGGGGCTTTCTGCAAATTGGGGAAAGACTATTCCTCACTAAGTGAATTTATTCCAATTTGCGGTTCACTTAAACCGTCCGGTTTTTCCACCCCTAGAGTTTTCTCTTTTTGGTTTAATTTTCCGATTTGCTCAACTTTTAGAGTTTTGCTAATATCGTCTCTTTTCTTTCTTTTTTATAATCATGACATCCAAATGACAGGTTTTAAGGATATCATTTAAAATATATTTAATTTTTAAAGATTATTTGAAATTTAGTTAGATTTACTGAATTTAGATAGATACCCTCGTAATCATCATCATTTGTAACTTCAAACTATTGGGTCAGAAGTTTGAATTGTTAAAATTACTTTCGCTCTCTAAGGTTAGAAGTTTGAAATATCATGTATAAAATTAGATTTTGACAGCTTAAGATTCTTATCTGACGGTATAAAATTTGAATCTCTAAACCCATAATTAAAACTTTAGAATCTTGAGGTTTGAATACTTTATAGATTCCGACTATTAATTAAGTAGACCAAAGCATGAAAATTGTAAAGGGATTTTTACATTTCTGTACGCTATTTGAATCCTTATTACTTTCCTTACTTAAATTTCAATTTAATTACATGTTCATATACAATTTACCAATTATGTACAAATAAGTTTTAAATGAGTATTTTGAATAAGGAATATAAGTTATTTCCTTATCAATTTACACTTGCCCACTCTCTCTCCGTCTCTCTCTCTTCATCTCTCTACTCTCCTTCTTTGTTTTTTTCCACATTTTTTTCATTTGATGTTCTCTATTTTTTATGTTTTCTTGTTGTATATAGTTTTAAGGAATTCATCAATGGATTTCAATCGTTTTAACTTAGCAATTTCCTTTCATGTTGCACAATTAGTGTTCAAATTAAAATTGTCAATCAATAAATTTTGAAGGTGTTTGACTCTCCACATTGACAGCCATTAAAAAGCTTTAAAGCTTTGAATTCGAATTTGGATTTTCAAAAACTATTATTTAGTTTGGATTGGGTATTGTTGCAAACAATTGGAAATATTGTTTGGAGTTTATATCTCAATTTTGAGGGTGTTTTGGTAAAGATTAGACTTGATTTTCGCTGAATTTCAGATTGAAACTCTGTGGAAATAGAAAGATATTTGGAGAACTTTTGTGTGTATTGATTGAATGAGTCACGTAATGTACAGCTTGTTCCTTTATACAAGAAACTAGTATTAGTACCCGCATGGATGCGCGGTCAGTAATCATGTCAAATATTTAAGTTATTTGGATTGTATGTAAATAATCTTAAAATTTACACTTTCTCAGTAAATATAGATAATCATTGGATATTAATTACATGAAAAAAATTAACCATTTCTTCTATTTTTCTTTTTTGATATCATTTTTGCCGGTGTCATTGGATCCTAAAAATAGTCAGGAAGCAAAATAATAACTCATATTTATGGCAAAACAATCAAATGTTGAGACAATGGACTCTTTGCATAAGACTTAACTTTTTTACTACTATTTGAACTTTTATTTGGTGTTGATATCTCTTAAAAAATATTTTTTTCTTAAAATTTCAGTTTCTAAAACATTATTTTTCAATAATAATTACTTTTATAATAATGTAATTAAAAATATTATTCATAATTCAAAACTCATTTTAGTTGGCTATCTAAAAATATAAAAAATTCTCTAGCTAGTGAATTTCTTTTACTCCATTTTTGATATTTGATATTAACCATGGTAAATATCTGAGTTATTTGAATTATATATAAATAACCTTAATATTTAAACCTTCTGAATAATTATAGATAATCGTTAGATATTAATTGAGAAACACTACATGAGAAAAGACTAACATTTTCTCAATTCTCGTAGTGATAATTTTATTTTTGCACTATTCTCATAGGTGTCATTGGAACCTAAAATAGTCACAAAGTGAAATAATAACTCATATTTATGGCAAAGCACAACGGTTGACACGATATAAACGATTCTTTGATTACGACGTGACTCTTATACTACGACTTGAACTCT